CAATAATTTCACACACTCAAACAGATTTCTCAACAAAACATGTACATCGCAACGTCAAATTTTTCGCAAGTTTGTGGGAATGCATGTCACAGATGCTCATTTGCGTCTGGTTGAAACAGCGGTTGACAGAATAAGTGAATATGATATTTCATTTCTAATTTTATGCGTGTAAATTAAACATTACATTGTAATGTTATTTGTTAATGTTGTTTGTTTGTTTTTTCAAGATTTTCTTTCTAAAATGCAAATGCTTTCCGCCCCCCTTGACATCTCGCTATGCCCCCCTTGGTAAGCGCGCCCCCCTGGTTGGGAACTCCTGATCTAGATCATGTTAGCCGTTATTAATAAGCTCCCTTTTTGTAACAGCCATGGAAAAATCTTTCCGAAACAATACGTAGTTATCCAGATTTTAGGGAGTCCAAATACTTAAGAGACACGCACTGTATATTTTTTGGGTAATACGAATCCTCAACATAATAGCTTGACACCAATCATCCAACAAATATGGGTCAAGTCGAAATGCCAATACGATGATAGGATACAATATTAGGCCATAGTACCGTGTAGACAGGGATAGATACACGGCATTAAGCAAATAGCTTACAGATTATCATATTAGCATACCACCATCTGGCAATAATTAATTCCAATGACAACGAATAGGTTGGCATTACTGTCGAATGTTACTGACATAACTGCAATATCGTTTGCATCACGTGAGAACAGTCATCCTGGTAAGATATTACGCCATGACGTAACAAAAAATTGCGCTCGGCTCTTATCGGTATTCTAATGCAGAAGAAACCCCGGATCAATGAAGCTGTCCGGCGGACTATAAAGTACATTCCCCGAAGTATCTTCGCTTGATATACGAGGTGGATAAAATGAGTGAGACTGGTTTTTCCAATTTTTTTATTAGATACTGGAACAGCTTTCAGCTGCTCGGTGACAGCCACTAAATGTTTTCGACTGCCCAAAAATGAGTTCCCTTGAGGTGATTTTTCAACTTTGGGAAAAGAAAAAGTAACAAGAACTCAAGTCAGGTGAATAAGGAGGCTGAGGAGCCACAGGAATGTTTTACTGTCCAAAAATTAGTTTATTGACATTGCTGTGTGGCAAGGAGCATTATCGCGATGCAACATCCAGTTGTTTTTGATCTGATTAACGGTGGTGTGAGTCAAATTTAACTGCTCTCCGATCATTCTGACTGTCTGAACGCCCAAGATCTAGGATTCTGTCGATATTTTCATCGGTTCTTGAAGATGAAGGTGTTCCACTTCGTGGTTCATCTTTAGTCGAATCTCCCCCTTCTAAAAATGCCTTGAACAACCGAAACATTTGGGCTCATTTTTAGAACACCATTTAAAAACATTTTCACAAAAAAAAAATCGCTGCAGACAACCAAATGACTCGAAGGCGGATTACTTGTTCCACTATCTCCCCTCCAAGCCCGGCGCCTTCAGTGTTGCCAAATCGAACGCTACGTTGCCAGTTTCATCACTTAATTTACAGACCTCGTAACTACTGTTTGTATAGACGTTGTCTTCTTATCGTGAATCCTAAATCCTAAATACATTTTACTTACATTACGTCGCAGTTGGGATGTCCACGCCTGTAAAATTATATCTACATCCGATCATAATTCTATTCCTTCCTGAATGAACTGCATAACCACAATTTTCTCAGGTACGACTACGATATACGTTACGCGACGCACTCTTATTCCAAGTTCATGGACCTCTCCTTGGACAATCACATAATCGATGGTATTGTTGTTGTAATATCAATCTTCAACTTGCATGCATGATGCCCACCAGGCAGTACCGAAAGAGGGGACCTTTCACTATGACTAGAAGGTAGTACCAAGCAATTGCTACTGTTATCTTTCTCTATAAAAGTGAAGTACCGCTCCAATTTCGTTGTCACTTTCGTTCGGTTGTCCTTCGCGCGGTTTACAACCCGCGACCGTTATCGGTACTACTTCGCACGTGTCGACATGAAATCCACTGTAAGTACGACTTTATTTTAGGGCAAGTACAACCTTCGATCGACTTTCCATATGCGAATTACTTGACGTGGGATAAAGTTTTCGCAATTTTTTGAAAAATCACTTGTGCTTTTTTCATTGGTTCCTCGCATTTCATCCTTGTGTCTTTTTTACTACCTCCCGTGCTGTAGTTAGTTAGTTCAGGAAAAATCAATTTTTTTTGCAAAGCTTTCGTGGCGTTTCAAAAAGCGTTTAGAACTATATGGGCTAAATTTGAATTCGGTAAGTCAAATAATTATATGTCGACATCGAGGTTTCGACTATGCCTATGTGCAATCGACACCCAACTAGTGCATTATAAGCTGGGATAACCGTACCAGACCCGATGAAATATTCTTAATTCAAAAAAGAATCTTCAGAACCCTCCTTGGCAAAGGTAAAATCCACAAATGAAAAGGAAAGATTCTATAAATTAATGAAATAATTACCAAGGAAAGAAAACATAGAAAATTGTACTTGTCAGAGGAACAAAACAAATATACTATTTTCAGAAACTAAATGATAATTCACAAGTCTTAAAAAGACTATGGACTACTGTTAATGATATTTTCACTGGAAAGCAGCGATATGGAAATGAGATTACTCAATTGAAAACAGAAACGGGTGACGTAACCAATGAAAATCAACAAATATTCGACAAATCTATAATTTTTCACAAATGGCGGAAAAATTATCAAATAATATAAAAAGCGATGATAATAAATTTAAGTTACATGAAAAAAATTAGAAAACTCATTTGTCCTGACCGAAGTCGATGCTCAACAAGTTTTTAACACTATTGTGCCCCTGGCGGAGCTGAATATCTGAAGATGATGGCCAAGCAAATATCAGAACCATTTGCTAATGAAGCGATCTTTTCTCTATTTGGCTCTAAAATTATATGAACTCGTACCCAAAGACTTTCTGTTTCCATTTTGGAACATTACAAAATACAACTGTTCCATGGACAGGAACTATCCTTCTGTGGATTGAAACGTTTATTTACCCATTCTAGGTTATTATTGTTCTTATATCATGGAATAAATAAATGTCTAACAATACTACTTATACCGTACACTATTCAAATAATACCATATCATGACAGTTTTTTCTATTCTATTTCCAATTGCATTGTTTATTTGAAGAAAAATATTAATGATTTTGTTCAGAGGTACTGACATCACTATGTACAACTTGCATCCGAACCTCAATTTGAAACTTCCCGCACCCGCAAAAAAGTCTAACGGTAATAAACTGCCAAACCAAACCATGTCAAATAGATGAATACGGTGGCGGAATTTATAAAAGTTGTAAAAAAAATTTCAGAACACCCTTTTTATTCAGTAGAGGAATACTTCAATCTCGATTTTATAATATGCTTTGGTTATTATAGTTTCCACCTACTGTGTGATGTTGTCTTGTTTGCTTTATACACTGTATGTCTTTTTTGATTATATTCCTAAACTACTATGTAATTCAATGGAAATAAATGCTATTAATATTGATTAAGTGATTAATTAAATCATATCCTTATAAACAAGTTAATTTTTTGCCATCAGCCATATATCCATACCAGCTTACCATTTTTCCAAAAATCGCAGTATTGTAAGTGCGGAAATTTAAAGTATACTTTCACAACGATTTTTTTTGTGATCGTGGTTCCTGACGATTCAATTCTAATTCATTCTTACAATTTTTCCTAATGATTTTCAGGCGTGCACAACATATAACTTATATTTAAGTATGCGTTTTTGATAATTTTTCGGTAATTGGGTAATTTGAAAATAACGGATAAGCAGTTACCAAAAATTCTAAAACTATAAAAAACCATCAACAAATTTGTTTAATGTCAAAGATACTTTTGCTTCCCAACAGCGAAAAGTTTAGGTGCTCATTTTTGAGTTTCTGTCTGATAATTCTTAACTCCTCTATAATTGGAAAGCCCATGACAAAAAAGCTTTGTGTGTGTTATGGGAAAAAATCCATAAATTCGTTTAAAGAGTTTCTGATAATTTTTGGGCGTAATCAGCAACTTGGAGGGGTCAAAATTATTAAAAAAGATCTCATCTTCGGGTTCAAAATTTTTGGAGTTTTAATACATGCTTTAAGAATATATCGATGCGTGCGAAGTCCATCTACTTTACTGTTTTTTTGTAATTCACTTCACATTGCTCATTGTCATCATACAAGAATATTTATCTAATTACAAAGATAATACAAATATACCATAAAAAGAATTTACCTTTCGTATTTACAAACACGTTTGCTATTGGGCGCCAAAAATAAAAAACCTTTTCCCGGCGAGTCAAAGACCTGATTATAGTTCAAAGGTAAAGAGAAACAAAATAGAATAGCGCTTTTTATAATTCTAAGTGGGAGGGAGGGTTTTATCTGAAAGCGTTATTTTAAGTAATAATATGAAAAAGTGCTTTTATAGATTCCTCAGTGTTTTTTTTTTACCTTTCAAAGTATCCTAGAGGTTGAAGCTATATTGATCGATCTGCATATACTCAAAAGTTGTGGGGTTTGATATTTATTTCTTGACATTTGCTGAAAATTCGGCCACGCTCTTCGTAAAAAAATAATACTAGTGATATCTGCACATTACACAGATGGCCAACCATGGATAGCTGTTTCGTGCTATTCGGCAACTCCTCAGCATAGTGTAGGCTAGGTTCAGGTAGAACAACGGACGGAAGCTAAGCAACCATCCTCTATCCAGATATCCAGAATACAAGGTATGTCGATATAAGACAGAACAAGGTGCCATCTATTACCTGACTCGATCACTGTGAGAGTCAAAACAGCGCGCTGTCTGTTGGAAGTGTGTCCCAGTCCTAATCATCTGCTGGATCACCACTAGATGTCGCTAAATTACTAGTTTCAGTTACAGGGTCATCTTGCAACTACGAGGGATGTCTTTTAAGTTTTGCATATGGAAATAAAACAACATGGTAGGTAGTTTTAAATGACTTTATTGTCTTTCGAAGTATGCTCCACGAAGATTAATAGACATCTGCATGCGCTCGAACCAATTTTCGAAGCACTTATTCCACTCGGTTGCTGTCAGATCCAAAACGGCATTTTTGAATGCGTCAACTGCTTCTTTTGGTGACTGGAACCTTTGACCACGCAGTCTGTTTTTAATTTTCGGGAATGTTAATAAATCGTTAGGACTTAGATCAGGACTATATGGAGGATGGTCCAATAATTGCACGTCTTCTTCCGTTAAATACTGCCTTGTTTTTTGGGCTGTGTGCGTGCTTGCATTGTCTTGGCGGAGGATGATTCTTTCGGGATTGACTTTTCGAAGCTCGGTGATGACTTTTGGCAAACAAATGGTGGTATACCAATCCGCAGTAATAGTTCTTTGCTCATTAAGAGGAATTGTTGCAATATGACCCGCTTTTGACACAAATGTCGCGACCACCTTTTTCGAAACACTTCGAGAACGGATGACTTTTGTTGGCTTTTCTTAAATATCTTCAATCTGTTTTTAATTTGTTCTTGTCATACAGCTGTGTGTAGTTTGTATAATTTTGACTATTGTACCATGTATCCAGCTTTCACCATGTTACTGGGTGTTTCCCTCAAAATAACATTTAGCAACATCCTCACATACTACTCTCTTGATGATGATGGCAAAGACCATTGAAAGCTAGAGAGATTAAAAAAGTATAACGAGTCCTCCTTGCTTAAATTTTGCCGAAGTACCCAACAAAAGACAGAAGCTTCAATTATATATATATATACAGGGTGACTTCGAAGTTGAGTCATTTATTTTAACAGTGAGTAGATCTGATCAAAAGAAATGTTTTTTTCCTTTACCATTTTTCTGGTAAAATTAAAGTAACAAAGTTATAGCCCTTTGGAAGTTTGAGTACCGCCCTGTCTCAATAATGATATTATGTTCTCGTGTTTGGCAACAACAGATATAATCCGCCTTATCCGTTCATCGCATCGGAAACAAAAAAGCGAAAGAATTTGGAACGATCTTTTTACAATTATTTTCTTCAGTTGTATACAGTCAGTATCAGTCGGTAGTCGGTAACGCGTAAGTGAATAATCGTGTCTGTTGCGAGGCTCAAATCAAAAATGGCACATGTTTACGGAAATGCTGAACTTGTGGACATGGTTCTTATTTACGGGGAGTCTTTACAAAATGCTGCCGCGGCATCACGGATCTATGCGGATCGGTTTCCCAATCGAGTGCAACCAACCCCTCGTGCCTTTGTTAATGTAGTGCAAAGAGCTCGTGAATCAGGTGACTTAAGACCTCACAGAGGAGATCATGCCGGTGCTCCAAGACCACACGATCAAATAGAACTAGAAGAACAAATTTTAGAATTAGTAAGTGATGATCCAACAGTAAGCACCCGACAAATTTCAACTCAATTGGCGATTAGTCAGTATAAAACTTGGAAAACTCTACGTGAAAATCAGTTCTATCCGTTTCACATACAAAAAGTGCAGGCCTTACAACCGGAAGATCATGAACAAAGGGTTGACTTTTGCAATTGGCTTTTAAATAAACATCAAAATGATGACAATTTTTTAAATCAAATTTTAGTGAGTGATGAAGCCCTCTTTACTAGAAACGGAATTATTAATTCACGTAATTCTCACGTTTGGGCTATTGAAAATCCCCATGAAATAAGGGAAACCAATTTTCAACAGCGATTTGAACCAATCAACCTGTGGGCGGGAATTGTTAATGGAATTTTAGTGGGGCCTTTTGAATTACCAAATCGCTTAACTGGTGAAAATTATTTTGATTTCTTGCAACACAATTTGCCTGGTTTACTGGAAGATGTGCCTTTAAATATTAGACAAAACATGTGGTTTTTACAAGATGGAGCACCACCCCATTATGCAAGAAATGTGCGTGAATTTTTAAATAGACAATTTAATAATCGTTGGATCGGCCGTGGCGGTTTTGTACCTTGGCCGCCAAGGTCTCCGGACTTAAATCCTTTAGAGTTTTGTTTGTGGGGTTGGCTAAAAACTCTAGTGTATAAAACACCGGTTAATACACGCGAAGAATTACGTGCTCGAATTGAGGAAATGAGTACAGTGATCAGAAATCAACCAGTGATTTTATTGCGTGCTTGTAAAGAGACATGGCTAAGACGCGCCCAGCTGTGCGTCGAGCAAAACGGAAATCATTTCGAACAGTTTTTGTGACATGCTTTTGGGCGCACAGGTCCGCACTGAAATACTTGTCGGGAGGATACTTTATAAAACAAGGTAACATTTTTTTTTTAATTTTTTTTTATTTTTACACACATATTTTGGTTTATCTTCCTTCTACAATCATTATCTGAAAATTAATGACTCAACTTCAAAGTCACCCTGTATATATATATATATATATATATATAGGAGTGAGATATATTTTAACTATGAAAAGAGGTAACTAATAATGATTATAAATACTATATAGTTGATCAGCCATACGTCATCTGTCGTTAACTTTTGATAACCAAGGTACAGCAAAAATCTACAATTTTATTCTATTTGAAACTTGACATGCATTCCTATCGAATCGATTGTTATACTAACAATCGTCGGACATCTGAAAATACCTGCTATCTGACATTTTTGCCCAATTTGAGGTATATGCACATTTTTCTTCGTCTACCACATTGTAATAGAGTCCGTAACAACGACGATGTGATTTCTCAGAAGTATCTCACCAAAGGACACACCCAAATGAAATGTGACACTGTACACAGTTGCATTTAAAGAAAACTGAGACATAGAGTTATTGAATTACCAAATGACTATGTTAAGGCGTTAAAAGAAGCTAGGGCAAAACCAGAGCCATATAAGGTGATCCAATTGAGTTACGATTTCAAGGACTACTCTTGAACAGAGGTGCAGCGATACTCAACAATTGGACCAGGCAGGGACAATGTAGTCACGGACATCAAAGTACTATGTTATAATCCCGGTGGAAAAATTGAAGTGAAACTAGACTTCTGTGTAGAGCCTCAGGAGTTGCCTATGAGACCAAAACAGCTACCCGTCATTTCAGATTATAAGTGTTATATCTAAGGACTGTCACATGTTTTACGACAATTTGCCATATGTCAAGGAAAGAATCTGAACGTTCATTTAAGGTGTAACTGAGAATTTTTGATTTGTAAAAGCATTAAACTTTTAATTTGATATAATGAATAACAGTTTTTCTAACAAGAATCTCACTAAATCCATCTATGCATCATATTACAATATCTGCTAACTGCAAAGAAAGTTAGCGGAAATGTCAGCTATCTGCACTAATTTTGTCAATTAGAGCTTCATTTAGATAAAAACGCATTAAATGTGTTAAATGTCATTTATTTTTTGTGACCAAAGTTGTAGAGTCTTAAGGCCAGTAGTATAAAATTGATAGGGTTTTTTTTTGGTCCCCTGTAAAATTACGGTTCCTGCATATAGCAGGTATTGTCAGATATCCGATGCAATGAAGAAAATAACCCAGGACAGCCAGACCCCTCCTGTTTCATGAAATCACACCACATGAATGCGAGCCATCGTTGCCATTTATACTGCCTGCGATGTTCCGGCTGTGTAATAATCGTGTATATGTAAATTACAGAGACTTTATGAAAATGTCCTTACTAGACCATAAAATATCTAGCTTCGTAATAAAAAATGAACAAAGATCAGCCTCGCCAGCTTTTACCTAATCATGTGCTAGCAACGTATAACAAAAGTTCTTTATTACAATGAGGTTTCTGTGATCTTTCCAAATATATAACCGAAATTCAAAAAATCCTTTATCGACAATGTGTGGTTTTTAGGTAAAACGGTTTTGTCAAATTTTCACTAGTCCGTGTCTGTATTTGATAGCACAAGCGTACATAATTTTATAAAAACATAACGCGTAATCAAAAGTTGTAAAGCAATACAGAAATGGCTAAAATGACAACTTTTTGTGAACGTTTATTTGCCCCCAAATTTTTTTGAAAACAGTGAAGAATCCCCAACACTATACACAAAATCATGCGAATTTTTAAGGCACAACCGGATTCTCAACCCTTCCGCTCGGGTATTACGTATCTTGAAAAGTGACATTATGTCGATTTTTCCGACATTATATTTGGTTTTTTGTGATATTATGTAGGTTTTTCTACAAGATGTTAACTTAGCACGAGCTGATGGACGCGTTGTGCACTGGTTTTTTAGTTGAACGTGTTGCCTAAACGTCATGAGACTTCAGTTATCAATGTTTGGCTCTGACGAGATATAAGTTCTGCTTCACAGATGGCATTACTGGAGGTAACGGCAATGCATAGGTGCATAGTGAGGATTTGTGTGCTAATAATATGCGTTGATGATAATTCCATTGGATTCTTGTTTGAAATAGAAGTGACGTATAAATCCGAACACCCAGTTTAAATGGTTTTATTTTAATAAAATTTTGTATAAGTACTTATGAAGCATAATAAGTAAATGATAAAAATTTCAAAATGATTGCACTGCTTTAAAGCCCTTTGACCTTTAATAATGAGTGGATGCACCCTGATGTGCTACGCATTCTCCAACGCGCCTAGGCATGCTTCTGATCAGGTGGTCAATGTCCTCCTGTGGTATCTCATTCCAGGCAACCACCAACTCCTCTCGAAGTGCTTCTAGAGTCTGAGGAGGACGTTGCAAATTGAGCAATCTCCTACCCATCATATCCCACACGTGCTCAATTGGGGATAAGTCGGGAGATCTTGGTGGCCATGGTAACAATGTGACATCATTATGTTGAAAGAACTCTTGCAACATGTGGTCGGGCATTATCTTGTTGGAAAGTTGGATCTGCCAGGGTGTCAAGATAGGGTAAAATATGGGGTTCTAGAACTTCGTGGATATAACGCTGTGCGTTCATGTTACCTCTGATGAAGATTAAAGGTGACCTGGAACCATAAGCTATAGCACCCCAAACCATAACTCCAACAGTGTGATGAACATGTCTTGCAACAAAAAACTGTGGATTCCTCCTTTCACCAAGTCGCCTTCTAACCCTTGCACGACCATCGTGCATGCCTAAATAAAATCGAGACTCGTCACTAAAGACAATACTGTTCCATTCCTGATCCCAGAGTGACCGTTGTCTGCACCACTCAAGGCGATTACGTCGGTGTTCTCGAGTTAAAGGGAGGACCCAGTGTGGCCGGTATGAAAACAAGCCAAAACTTCTCATTCGTCGGTAAACACTTCGCATGCCAATAGGTCTTCCGTGTTCTGCAAACCATTCATTTACAATGGACCTGGTAGTGGAGAAACGGTCCCTTAAGGCCAATAATCTTAGGCGGCGATCTTCACGGTCTGTTGTTCTACGGCGGCGTCCAGTGCCCCTTGCTCTTTGCGTACGGCCTTCTCGAAGCCATGCCTGACAACACCTAACCACAGTGTCTACACTTCTTTGCACTCTAACTGCAATTGCCCGAAAAGAAAGTCCAGCTTCCCGAAGTCCCACTATACGGCCCCTATCAAACTCACTAAGTTGACGAAATCGTACAGGTCTCCGTACTCTAGGCATCGTAACCGATCGTAAAGGA